TTAGTTTTTAATATTAATTTACAATATGGTCACCCAACACTTAACAATGGCCTCTACCTCAAGAGGTAGAGGAGACAAATGGCATGCTCACTGCTGCCAACTAGTGGTCAGAGGCTGAACTACAACATGAAAATGAACGGCTGGCAGGAAAGTTGACATTTTAAACCTGAATAAAAAAATCGATACAGGGCTTTAGAATATCAATACAGTATCGGGTAATGAAATATCGTGATATTTCAGTGTATCGATATTTTCTTACACCCCTAATACTGTATATATAAAATCCAAAGGTTGTCAACCTCCATTGTGTAACCACTTGGGACGTCCTGACATCACATGGAGCTGGTTCTGGAATGTATGCTTGCGCAAAAATAACCAAAACAAAGAGGAAACTACAAAACTGGAGGAAAGAGAGATTCAACTGACCCTGTCTTCATTTAATACAAAGATTTGGACTCATTTAGTTTTTTTACTGAATGAGTCTGAGTTTGAAATGAGCTTCACTGTGTGCGAAATTTGCAAAATTAAGATGAAGCACTTTAAGAACATGACAAATTGGCTCACATTGAGTTTTGAATGAAAAAAAAAATCGATTTTGAATCTAATCGTGACCCCAAAAATCTGAATTGAATCGAATAGTGAGAGAGTAAAATATTCCCTCCCCTAATAAAAAGTGCATTCAAGGATTCCTTTCTGAAAGTTTCATTAAAAACTTTTAGTTTTATACAACACACAAACAAAACTGTTCTTGTTCTGCTGCACCTTTCTGCAGCAGGTGATAAATACCAGCATGTAAGAGTTAGAAATATATTTTTAATAATAAACCCACTGGATCACCGCCTTCCTGCCACAAGTCACAGCTCACAGCCAGAACATGATGTCCTCTCTGCTGAACCTACACTGTTTGTCTTAGATTAGTAAAAACAACTTCAGTAACTGACAGAACTACTCATAATGTTTTCCTAAGCGCCTCATTCTGTGCACAATTATTTATTTCTGTCCATGCTCCTCTTTACCTTTATTCTGACCCTCACAGGCTCAGAGTTGACACGGCCGTGTAAAGAGGCCCAACAGGAAGCTGATTTGCGTCTTTTGCGCCTTCCAGAGAAGTCTCACTCACCTGTTTCTGTCAGGAAGTCATATTTGACTTGACTCAACCTGACAGAGTTCCAAACCCTGCTGCTGACGTCTCTGATGTCTCTGGACCACAGATATGTATCAGTAGGAGCTGTTTAGAGGAAACAAGAGGTCATACTGAGAAAGACAGGTGGTCATAATGTTATGGTTGATAGGATGGAGGGATTTTTCAGATTTTTGATGTGAGGTTTGGTGTAAAAGTTGTGAGCAATGAATATCTTGCCTGCTTCAGATGTAGAAATTGTGAACAGTAAATATCTTGCCTGCTTCAGATGTAAAAAATGTAAATAAGGTGGTGAGCTAACTGTTCAATCTGTAAAATGTTATGCATTAGTGTTAGTTTACAAGTCTTTCACCATCATTAGTTTCACTCAATGTTTTACTAGCAGCAGCTAGCTGTGGCACTTCCAGGGTAGCCTGGTGGCACTTTTTACAGGATTATCACCTTATTTCTGCTCAAATATATTTGTCATGTGAGCTGGACAGAGATATAAAGGTTTAAAAATGTTTTTATTTTGAAGGACAGTGAACATGTCACACTGTGAATATGGCAACAGTTTAAACCTCCGGCTCTTTAAGCCACAGCTTCATATTTGGATGTTGGAGGGAAAAGACATGAGCTGATCCACTTTTCTGGATGTGAAGTGGAATGAACGTGTATCAGAATACAAACATTTGGTCAGAGCAGGGAGTTTTCCCAGCAGGATGAATCACTGAGAATGTTCTGATGGATACGCCTGCAGGATTTGAGCGTTTGGGGAAAGAGTTATTTTTATGACTGAATTTCTCTGTGTGTGGCTGATCTTTACTTCTTCAGCTGATCTTTATGACTTCAGCTGATTTTTACTTTTTCAGCTGATCTTTTATTACTTCAGCTGATCTTTACTTTGGCTGAACTTTATTTCATTTGATTTTTACTTAAACTGATCTTTACCTCTTCAGCTGATCTTTACCTCTTCGGCTGATCTTTACCTCTTCATCTAATCTTTACTTAAGCTAATTTTTTTTTCTTCAGCTGATCTTTACTTCGGCTGAACTTCTTCATTTGATTTTTACTTAAACTGATCTTTACTTTTTCAGCTGATCTTTACTTTTTCAGCTGATTTTTACTTTGTCAGCTGATCTTTAATTCTTCAGCTGATTTTTACTTCTTCAGCTGATTTTTACTTCTTCAGCTGATTTTTTCTTCTTCAGCTGATTTTTCTTCAGCTGATCTTTAATTCTTCGGCTTGTCTTCACTTCAGCTGAACTGTACTTCTTCATTTGATTTTTACTCAAACTGATCTTTACTTTTTCAAATGATCTTTACCTCTTCGGCTGATCTTTACTTCAGCTGATTTTTCTTTAGCAGATCTTTAATTCTTCGGCTGATCTTNTACTTCAGCTGATTTTTCTTTAGCAGATCTTTAATTCTTCGGCTGATCTTCACTTCAGCTGATTTTTCTTTAGCAGATCTTTAATTCTTCGGCTGGTCTTTAATTCAGCTCATTTTTACTTCATCTGAACTTTACTTCTTCATTTGATTTTTTCTTAAACTGATTTTTACTTTTTCAGCTGATCTTTAAATCTTCAGCTGATCTTTACTTCAGCTGATTTTTCTTCTTTGGCTGATCTTTAAATCTTCAGCTGATCTTTAATTCTTCAGCTGATCTTTAAATCTTCAGCTGATCTTTACTTCAGCTGATTTTTCTTCTTCTGCTGATCTTTACTTCAGCTGATTTTTCTTCTTCTGCTGATCTTCTTCAGTCTGTGTGTATTATTTGTGTTGACTTTCAGTCAGCCAGCAGTTCGTAGGAACAATGGGAACTGTTGGGTTGTGGGATGTGGTCAGGTTGATTTAAAGCTTTATTATTGTCTTCATTTATCATCGTAGATCTATTCTAGCTGCAGAGCTGGGTGTGCTCCATGTGAACTGTTTACACAGTTTATACTTTTATTTTTCTGAAAGCATTTTATCAGTCTACTGTTTCCTTTAGATAATTACTTCTGTTTTCAGTTCTTAATATTTATATTAGAAAACAGTGATTGGAAATCATCACAGTTTATTACTGCAGCTATAAATCAAATACAAACACAACCAGATTCATCAATAGTTGTTTAAAACAGAAAATAGTTCTGTTCCTTTAACATTTAATGATTGTAGGCAGGTAATCCTGTAACAACTAATGTCTGTGTCTGTCAGCAAAATATCTCCTGAGCCACTGGATGTATTAACTGAAACCTGCAGATAAACAGGTGGTTTTGTGGGTAAAAACAGATTTCTCACTGACTGTAACTTCGTCACATTTCCAGATGTTGGTCTCTGAGGGTCATCTCCAACATGGAAACTCTCACAGGTTGTGAGATATTTGTTAAAGAATGATTCTTTTCACAGTTTATAATCCTGTCCATCAGAATAAAGTATAATTAGGACACAGTCTGACTGGTTGTGTGTACGTAGACTCGGTGTTTCAGGCTGCTGTAAATGTTCAGAGAGGAAGCTGCCGCTGACTTCAGTTTCCTCTGTTTTTTTACTGAAAAGAAAGCTTGGTTTGTTTGCAGAGACTTTATCACCGGTTAGTTTGAGGGATTTGTCACAAGCTTTGTGAAGGTTTCAGGATCAGTGCTGATGGATTAAATAATGTGTTTGTTGTTCAGAGACTGGGCAGCAGCAGCATGCAGAGCGAGGAGGGAACAGGGTGGCTGCTGGAGCTGCTGCTGGAGGTGCAGCTGCAGCAGTACTTCAAACGCATCAGAGACCAGCTCAACGTCACGCGCCTGTCGCACTTCGACTACGTCAAAAATGAAGACCTGGAGAAGATCGGCATGGGTCGACCTGGTGAGGCAGAATGTTTGCACGTGAGGGATTTCAAATTTTGTTGCCATTAGAACAGAGCTGCACGGTGTATCGTTTGACCGTCTTCATGGCCATATACGTGTCCTTTGATGGAAGAGGGAAATTAAATCGACGTGTAAACGAGAAGTGAATAAACTGTTTTTATTTTTGACAGGGCCTACGTGAGAGTCAGAGGCAACATGTTTGTTTGTTAGTAAAATTAAATTCCTCAGGAAGCATGAACTCAAGTCCCAGCACAAAAAAAGACTAGAATAACTCAAATACAGACTAAAATATGTTTGTAACAAATTAACAAAGAAAGAAAGAAGATCAAGTTAGGTTTATCTTCAACAGGACGGCAGCAGAACTCTATATTCTAGAGCAGTGGTTCCCAAACTTTTTGTCTTCTGACCCACGATATATCCATGCAAAAACTTGTGACCCCAAATATTACTGGTCTGAGTACATGAACTTCATTAATAACCCTAAAAACACAGGCTTTTTGACAATCTAAACAGCTTATACACAAATATAAATACTTATTTTGTGTTTTTGTAATAATTATAGGGAAAATATTACATCAGTAATTATTTTTTTACCCTTTAAATTGATTTCTGGAGATTATCCAAGGTGCTTCATGACCCATWATTGGGTCCCAAGCCCAACTTTGGGAACCAAAGTGCAGTGGTTCCCAAACTTTTCAGCTTTTGACCCACAAAATATCAGTAGCAGAGACCTGTGCCCCCAACTATTTTTGGATGATAAACATTTGTATCAATTCAACAAAACATGGGCATAGTAAAAATATTTTTTATACTACATCTATCCATTTTAAATACACTAACCTCACTCATTTGTAACAACTAAGGCAAAAATGTAATTAATTCATAAAATATTTTCAGGACCCCACCCTGATGTTTCGGGACCCCACTTTGGGTCCCGACCCCAACTTTGGGAAACACTGTTCTAGAGGAATGTAACCAAATTTACTATTCAGTTTATAGTAGAAGATAAAACATTAAAAAAACTAATTTAAAACCAGATACCACAAAGCAGGTGGTATACATGACCCAGCACATCCACCGCACCAGAACTCAAAAGTTCTTAGTTTTGTAGGAATGCAGTGGTGGGCCCAAAGGATAGCCCCTCGTCAAAACTAAACAACCAAAATAATAATAATAAAATAAATAAATAAATAAAATCTGAAGCTCCCATGTTGAATAGTTTTTGAGTTATAAACATTTTTGCATGTCCAGACACCCCCTTTTCAGGTGGAGCCCCCTCCTCAAATATGGGGCCTATCGTAAAATCTTGGCTGGTGCAGTGTAGGTCGGACACATCTACATATGCTGCTAGGGCAGTGTTTCCCAAAGTTGGGGTCGGGACCCAAAGTGGGGTCCTGAAACATCAAGGTGGGGTCCTGAAAAGATTTTTTGAAATAATTACATTTTTGCCTTAGTTGTTACAAAGGAGTGAGGTTAGTGTACTTAAAATGGATAAATGTAGTATAAAAATATTGCTACTATGCCCATGTTTTGTTGACCTGATACAAATGTTTATCATCCAAAAATAGATGGGGGCACAGGTCTCTGCTACTGTTATTTTGTGGGTCAAAAGCTGAAAAGTTTGGGAACCACTGCACTTTGGTTCCCAAAGTTGGGCTTGGGACCCAATTATGGGTCATGAAGCACCTTGGATAATCTCCAGAAATCAATTTAAAGGGTAATAAAATAATTGCTGATGTAATATTTTCCCTATAACTATTACAAAAACACAAAATAAGTATAAATAAGTATTTATATTTATGTATAAGCTGTTTAGATTGTCAAAAAGCCTGTGTTTTTAGGGTTATTAACAAAGTTCATGTACTCAGACCAGTAATATTTGGGGTCACAAGTGTTTGCCATGGATATTTTGTGGGTCGGAAGATAAAAAGTTTGGGAACCACTGTGCTAGGGGCAGCTGTTTCCATGCGAGACCAAAAATCTTGGGGGAAAAAAATAAATAAACGGTACAAAAACAATATGACCCCCGCTTCGCGTGCGGTGGTTATTACAATTCTTAAAAACTACTGAATTAAAATGTGGTGCGTTCATATTAAACCCTTAAGGTCTCAACCTTTGCTTTTTAAAAGCACGATTAGTGAAACAAAACATCCACTTGCGAGTAATCCAAGTGAATCCAATAGTAATCCAAGGAACTCTCCACATGTTTATATCTGGGTTAGGAAAGATGATCCCAGCCTCTGGAGGTCTGAGCTCCGTTAAAACAGGCTCGTCCACAAAAACTCCAGCAGGAGGATGCTCACCCTGATGAACAGATCTACAGATAGATAGACTTTAGATAAATAGGATTTATTGTCATTATACTGGAGTACAACGAAATTAAACATCAATCCTTATAGTGCAAACCACAACAAAAACACGACAAAAAATACAATAAAAACAATAAAAAACAAATAAAACACCCAATAGAGTTACACAATAGATATGAAAAAGAGGTAACAGACTCAAATTAAACTTTGAAACCTTCATTTTTCATCAAAGATTAAGAATGAAAACTGTCAAACTAAAAAAGAATCTGTTCCGACTGGTTTGTGTGTCGTTATTTTACTGTTTGTTTTGTTTGTCCTTGAATCAGGGCAGAGACGGTTATGGGAGGCTGTGAAACGGAGGAAAGCCAAGCGGAAGTCCTGGATGAGCAAAGTGAGACATTTCTTTATTATTGTCCAAATATTAACTGTGAGGCTTCAGTTTGTGAGGAGGAGGCAGGTCTGAGTGTTTCAGTGTCTCTGCTTCAACACAGACCTTGTTTTTATAGTTTAACTTCTCAAAATAAAATCTGGGTGTGCGTGTGTGTGTGTGTGTGTGTGTGTGTGTTGGTCAGTGGTGTGACATCATGTCTGCCTCAGCATGAATGTAACACCTCAGCTAATGTTTTTATAACATTTATAAACCTATGTGTCACAGACTGTTTTCACTCTTCATCACTTCTGGGTTTATTCAGGTGGTGGTGATGATGATGATGATGAGCTAACAAAGTCACACAGGTCATATTGTTCTGTAGATTCCAGTTTTAGTGACTCATTTTATTCACAGCATGTAAATAGATGTTTTTTTTACACAGTGTGAGGTTTATTTCCACACAGTCTGAGCTCAGTCCTCTGCTGCTTCTTTAAATATCTGTTTCCTTCAGTTTTTGTGTTTTGACTCATTCATTCAGCAGATTTAAAGTTGTCGCAGGTACTCATGGAGGACTGGAGTGTGTTAGCCTCCAGCTAATCCTTCATCCCATCCAGTTGTTTAATCCCTGCTTCTCTCAGTGTGTTTAAATCTGCAGAACAGAGGCGAACAACGTTGAGATAAAGATGATTTTATTGAACATCAGGTTGAGGAATGTGTGCAGGAAGCGTACTGAAAGGAAAGGTGCAGCTGTGAAAACTATAAATAGTAGTGATCTTACCTGAAGAAGATGCAGTTTGGAGGATGAGAAGCTAGTGGCTAGTCCACAGGTCGAACTCCTGTCCTCGAGAGCCGCTGTCCTGCATGTTTTCTTGTTTTCCTGCTCAAACACACCTGATTTGCATGCATGGATGATCAACAGGCTTCTACAGAATTTAAGGAGTGAATTGAAGCACTGAATCAGGTGTGTTGAAGCAAAGAAACAAGGACAACATGCAGGATAGCGGCCCTCGAGGACCTGAGTTAAACCCAGAGTGAATTCTAACCTTCAAACAGCTGCAGTAGCCAATGTTTCATAGAAACTTCTATATCATCTAACATCAGTTTAATGTTTTAATGTTTTATTTTTTAACCAGCAGGTCCCTCTTCATATTTTTGCCCAAATGACCGTAATGAGGTGCAAAACTTGAAATAATAGTGCTTGGAAGAACCAATGTGAGATGTTTTACATTTGGAAGTTAATCCAAACAGGCCACGCTGATGAGGATTGTGTCTTCAAATGACTCTTATAGCACTTAATGCAAACACCTTTACACTGTGTTCACTTCACTGTCCATGCTTCAGAAATATATATATAAAAAAACAATTCTGACCTCTGGATGGATCAGAGGTGTTGCACCTGCTGAACCTGTAGAATTCTATTGGCGGGGTGTGAAGCGCCTCCAGTGCTCTAGAGTGCGACTAAAATATATGTCTGGTCGCACTGGTGCGACCGAGGGGGAGGAGGAGCGGTCGCCCGCTGAAACTAAAAGTTTCTATGTTCTTAAAAAACAATCCAGCAGTATCAATGGTCGCCCGCCGACAGTCTCATCTCTCTTAATAGCACAGCGCTCTGCTCGCAGCTCCGCTCCACATCTCCCGTGCACACACATTTGTTGTTCTATCCTCATGGGGACTTTGCATTGGCTTCCATTCATTTCCCTGTCCCTATAGCCAACCATAACCTCCCAGGTAGGCTACACACCTGACCCAAACCCTGACCTCACCAGGCTGTGTGTGCCAGGGAAATGGTCAATAACTGTACCCACCATGAAGCAAAAATCTGTACACACACACACATACACACACACACGCGCGCGCGCAACAACCGAAGTTTTTTTTTTTTTTTGTTTAACCCAGACCGGAGTCTGAAAACCAGTTCTTTCTTGTTAACCGGAGATGAAAACAAGATGTGGACGGTTTCTCACTCATCCATCTTGTTAATTTAACAGTCGGGGTCTGAGCGCAGCAGATCATTTCAGCAGGACGAGGAAGCTCACGAGTATGGCAGGCCACTTTTACACTTAATCGACTTCACCACAGTTACATTCCAAGTATCTGAAATAGTTTCTTCTGGGTCTCAGGAGGATAAAACTAGACATATTAGATATTTAAGTGAAATAATATAAGATAATAAGATTCAACTTATGGTGAAATTGCAGACTTTATGTGTTATTATTTAAAAAAAATGTGCACAACCTTTTAATAAATATCAGTAATATTTCTGTTATTAATCATTAGTCTCTGTTCATCATTCTGGTTGATCCAAGACCAAAGATCCATAGTTGTCCATCTGAGGGGCATGTTTCTAAAAACAATTTTAACCATGAAATGTTTAATATGTTTATACGATGTTCAGCCCTTAATCATTTGCACTTATTCTGGTTCAAATAAAGAACTTCATGTTTACTAGATTGTTAACTAATTATTTTCGAGTTAATGTTGCCTTAATGAACAGTGATTTAAAAAAAAATAACCTGTAAAACTCTGATGTTAAATGTGATGTGGTTGAAAATTTGGGTGCACCTAACTTTTTTGCTTCTGCGCCTAAGAAAAAATGTTAGGCGCACCGGTGCAACCCATGCAAAAAGTTAGTCCTGAGCCCTGGCCTTGTTTAGATCAGCAGTCCCCAACCCCCGGGCCATGGGTCGTTTGGTACGGGGCCGCACAGAAAGAATAAATAACTTACCTTTTTTCTGTTGTATTTATCATTCGAGTCTGAACAATGTTTTATTTTGAAAAACGAGCGGATTCTCTATGTTACGTCCGTCTATAACTCACTCTTGACGCATCAAGACGCTTATCTTGGTGAAAACAGACGTCTTTGGAAAGTTTCTTTACAAAGGAAAAGGGGAAAAGTCGATGGCACATGTCAGGAAGATGCTGCTAATAAGGTTACATTCAAGTACAAAGTGAGTGGATTGATGTTTATTATTATATTTACAAAATACTAGTTCTTGTGTTGGTCGTAGGCTGTCATTTTATTTTGCTGTATTCATCTGTCATACCTGCCGGTCCATGAAAATATGTCTGACAATGAACCGGTCCGTGGCGCAAAAAAGATTGGGGACCCCTGGTTTAGATTTAAAGAGACAGACTCAAAATGAGACACACCCCAGAAAAGGGGCGGGGCTTGTGGAGTTAAAAAAAGGGAGGATTTCAGTCCAAACCATTGCAGTTCCACTTTCTATTGAGCCGAACTGCAGGATTTAAATGTGAAATAGAAGATTTAAAAGCATCATGTGTTCTCTTTAAATGTACATCATCATACTGTAGTTCTGAGGGGGGCAGTGTGTGTTTTTAGTTGATTTATAACACACTTTTTACACAGAGACTTTACATTTAGCAGTTCAGTAAAAACTGAGTCTGTTTTTCTTTTTAAACCTTCATTTTACTAGGATTAAAAAAAAATATTTTTCAACGGTGTCCTGGTCAGAGTCTGGTCTTAGGTCAAACACTGTCTCCAGTAAACCAGAGCACAGAACAGTGTGTGTTTGTGCGTATTGTGAGGAAATAGATCTGTTTTGTGGTTTCTGAGCCGTACTGTTGAGCTGCAGGATGATGTAGAGTCAGGCTACAAACACTTTATTTATCTGTTTGTGTTTCTCTGCAGGTGTTCAGCGGGAAGCGTCCAGATGGAGATCTGCCTCAGCAGGGCCAACCAACGTCCTCCTTCCGTAAACTGTCCCTCACACCTCCCCTCTGTCTGGGTGAGGGGACCCTGTCCATGCAGTCCACTGGGGGCTCCCCCCTGGACGGGCAGCAGCAGACCCTGACCTGCCTGATCCCCGAGAAGGACCTGACACTGTTTGAGAAGCTGGGAGACGGCTCCTTCGGCGTGGTGAAGAGAGGAGAGTGGCTGACCCCTGCAGGGAAGGTGAGGAGGAGAGATTTACTGAATAAATAAAAAATAAAAAAGCTTTCAAGGAAATTTATTTGCTTCTGGAAACGGTTCTCGTCTCAGCTGAACGTGGCCGTGAAGTGTCTGAAAACGGATGTTCTGAGCCAGCCTGACGCTCTGGAGGACTTCATCTGTGAGGTCAACGCCATGCACTCCCTGGACCACCAGAACCTCATTCACCTGTATGGTGTTGTGCTCACACACCCGATGAAGATGGTAGTACACACACACACACCCACACCCCTAATGAGTGTTTACTGCAGGAAAACTCCTGTCATGTCCTGTTGTCGTCGTCTTGTCACCCGCTCTGTCTCGTTTTCTCTCAGGTGACCGAGCTGGCTCCTCTGGGTTCTCTGCTGGATCGTCTGCGGTGTGCTCACCCACAGGGTCCGGTTCTGATTCACACTCTGTGTCAGTACGCCGTGCAGATAGCTAGCGGCATGGCGTACCTGGAGCAGAGGAGGTTCATCCACAGAGACCTGGCAGCAAGGTAGAGCTGTTTACTGGTGCGAACTTTTGTTTTTAGCTCTTTTTCTCTTTTAATGAGTCAGCATTGAAACAGGAAGAGTCATAAAAGGTCTGATTCTGCAACAACTTCTTTAAGCTGTTTATCAGATACAGGTTGAGTTTATTGGAATCAGGGTTCCCACGGGTCCTTGAAATCCTTGAAAGTTTGTGGATTTGAAAAAAAAAAAACATTTCAAGGCCCTGGAAAGTTTGTGAAAACATCCAAAAATTACACTTGTCCTTGAAAGTCCTTGAATTTTTGATGGGGATTGAAGTTCTCTTTTCACACGACTGATTTTCATCATCTGAAAAAAAAATTTAAACAATAATAAAATAAAAACCTTACACTCGTTGCAGTGGATAACTCAGGATTACGGTAAACTGGCATGGCTTTCAACAACTAACGTGAGCCATAGTTATAGTTTTATCCAATCAGAGCAGAGAAGGGCGGGTCTTCTTTCTGAGCCCAGGTGAGAGCACCACAGCTCCTCCTGTCCTCATCGAGGGTCTGGACATGTTCACATCCCCCAAACCTCGCTGGAAACATTTTAATTAGCAAAAGGATGTATAAGAAGCACAAATTTGCTTAATTTAGCAGAATTTTGTAATAATTACAAAAAATATACAAAATATTACAAAAACCTAACTTTAGCTAATACCAGCTAAACATTAGCTAAAAGTGCAGCAAATAGCTGAATATAGCAGAAAGCAACTGTAAGAAGCAGAAATAGCACAAAGTAACATAAAAAAGCATAAGAAAGTGAAAAAAGCAGAAAGAAGCAGAATTTTTACTGAAATATCAGAGAAAAGCTAAATTAGCAAAAAGCAGCTAAAATTACTACAACAAAATGAAAATGAGCAGAACCAGAACAAAATGTGTAAGGTGCTGTAAAGTTTTAGAAACATTTTGAAGGATTTTAAGGATGCTGGAAAGGAAATAAATTTGGTACTGGAAAGTCCTTGAAAGGTCCTTGAATTTGATATTGACCAAGGTGGGGGAACCCTGTGGAATACACTCATCATAAAGCAAAACAAGGTGTCTCCAGGTCCTTAAAAAGTCTTGAAGTCTTATATTTATGTAGTTAAAGTTAAGGGTCTTCAACAGTAGGGAATTCATGAATAATGTGTATTTTGTCTTGAGTATGTTACTCAAAGATCTCAAGTTTTGCAGGCTGGATTTAGATTCTTTGTCTCCGCTGTGGATTTCCTAAAAGTGAGAAGAAAAAAATTGTTTCGTTGTGATGGATAAACTGACGCTGCTTTCAAACAAATAAAGAGAGCCAGAGTCACAGTTTTAGCCAATCAGAGCAGAGCAGGGCGGCTCCTGCAGTCTGTGAGCAGAGAGACAGACTGCAGGAGGAAACAGCATTTCTCTAACACCTCGACCCGCTACACTGACAGAACCGCCCGCCGCCCTGTAAAGGTGAAGTTATGTAAAAAATTATTAAACATTTAAGCAGTCCACTTCAACCGGGGTGATACCTGAACTGGTACACCCTTACCCCCAACCCCTCCCCACGAGCAGAGCCCCGACCTGCCTGGAGTTTTGTATCTGAAGTCTAACTTGTGATAAACATTAATACTGTATGTTCATGCATCATGGTTAACTTACATGTACAACTTGTGACCAAACTCCAGCTGCTGTAGTTCTTCTTATTTAACAATATTAAAGCTAAAAGATGAATATTTGAAGATCTCAGATTACAGCGAAGACAAGTCTTTGTTTAAATGTAATTTTCCTTAAACTCACAAAGTTGTCTTTGTGGGTCAGTTCCAGCTGGTTGTAGTTTATCATATTTGTACAAGTTAATCCTACAAAATGTTTTAGCAATATTAATGTGTTTTGTCTGTTTGAATGTGCTAAACTTTTATTATATTTAGAACTAAACTGTACTGTGATAAATATAATTAAATTATCAAATATGAAAATAAATAGTTTGAATGACTTCATGAACTGTAATACCTTTAAATGAAATCAGTCAAATTGATAAATTATATAAAAAATAACTTATACTTTGCAAAGAACTTTCTGTAAACACTTAAAGGGGCAATATTATGTGTTTCTCAGGCATATATTTAAATACTATACCATAATAAAGTATATATGTCACCTTTATCTGTTATTAAAATGCTGTTTTTATGTATAAATAGAAAATAAACTTATCTTCTCATCACTTCCTCTTCTAAACGCATTGAAATTGGCCTCTGTCTCTTTAAGAACCACCTTCCGCTTTTGTCTCGCCCATTTTGGTGCGGAGGGAGGGTGTCGCTCTCAGGGGAGGGGGGGCTGCCATGATACAGTTTACTTGGCATCTGAAAATACATTTCCTCAAAGGTATTTTTTAATCTGAAAAGAGCTTCACTGAGTGAGAACTAATGTTGAGAGCTCAGCACAGTTAAGTTTCACTTTCACCCGAGAGCCTGCAGGAGTCATGGGCGAGGGTGTGTGTGGGTGGGGGGTTGCTCCGCAATGAGGAAGTTCAGCTTAAAGACACGTCCCAGGGGTGTTTCTGGTCACCACCTGTTGTTTTGCTCCTCAGCATGGCTTCCTAAAAACGCTGCAGGATTTATCAAACATGTATGAATGAGTCAAGGCAAGGCTTTGGACATGTTTTTAATGAGAGTATAAACATTATAACTTGATATAAAACTCAAAAAAGTTGATTTTACATGATATTTCCCCTTTAAATTACTTTTTAGTAACTACAGAAAAGTTGTTTATAAAACTCTCTTTCTTCAGAATGTTGTTGATCTTGATGATGCAGGATAAATGATAAATTTATAGATAGTTGCATGGTGTTTGTGTATAAAGATAAAACTGGAGATACAGACACAATTAGGCCCAAGTATTCAGTAGATGTATTTTTGTCTGTTGTCCAGCACGATTCCACAACCATCGCCTAAATTTAGTTTTGTCAGTCTTAAATTTCAAAGTGTATTGGAAAGGTCTTAAAAAGTCTTAAATTTGACTTGTTAAAACCTGCAGATACCCTACTAAAGAGTCCAGTGTTATTTCTTCAACCACACTGTTTTCTTCTGTTCAGGAACATCCTGCTGGCCTCTAAATATAAAGTAAAGATTGGGGACTTCGGCCTGATGAGGGCGCTGCCCAACAACGATGACCATTATGTCATGCAGGAGCATCGAAAGGTGCCCTTTGCATGGTGGGTGATGGACAATCAAACACATACAGGAGTAGATTTAGTGTTTTATTGATTAACGCTTGAATTTATAAAGAAGGTTGAACATATTGGAGCTGACAGGTGTTTACAGAGTCTATGTTAATGTTTTCATGTCTCTAAGCGGCAGAGAACGTCTTCCTGTAATCTGCTTCGTGTCGTGTTGCAGGTGCGCTCCAGAGAGTCTGAAGACGAGAACGTTTTCTCACGCTACAGACACCTGGATGTTTGGAGTCACTCTGTGGGAGATGTTCACGCACGGTCAGGAGCCGTGGCTGGGCCTGAATGGGAGTCAGGTCAGCACGCGACCAGGAAACACACACGTTTAGAGAAGTCCTGTTGACCTCATCTTCTTCTCTTTTCAATGAAACCCAGATTCTCCATAAAGTTGATAAAGAGTGTGAACGGCTGCTGAAGCCAGAGGACTGTCCACAGGATATCTATAACGTGATGCTGCAGTGCTGGGCTCAGAAACCTGGAGACAGACCCACGTTTGTTGCCCTGCGTGAGTTTCTTATGGAGGTGAGTCATTTATTCACCACAACTGCAGATGGAGCTGTTTGAATGTCTCATAATGAACATGGACACTTGAGTTTAAATGAGCTACTGCCTCCATCTAGTGGTTTATAGAAACATCGCTCCTGCATGCAGAGGTTTCTTTTCCTCTATTAAACGTATTATTTATTATCTTGTTTGTCTGTTTAGTCCATGCCCACAGACATGTGTGCTCTACAAGACTTTACCGAGCCGGACAAACTGCACATCCAAATGAATGATGTCATCACCATCATAGAGGGCAGGTGGGTGAAGTCGTGACTGAATATTAAAGACAGGATGCTGGACAACTGCAAGAATCAGGCTACATTTACACTGCAGGCAAATGTGATCCATGTTTGACGTTTTCCTGACAGTCTGAACGCTCGTGTCGCATTTTATCTGGCTTTTTACATCAGTGCTGTGGGAGTAATAATGATACTAACCTTGAGTTTAGGTCTTGTAACTCCACACGTCTTCAGCTGCAGAACAGAAGTCCAGTTACTTTGTCTTTGTTTTTTTTATTTTTCCATGTCCTAGATGACTGAGAATCCACAGAAACATATGATAATAACGTTGCTGGACCGTATCAATCCTAAAGTTTGATACTTTACTTCCAGTTTGTTGCTTTGTTCCAAAAATAAAATGCTGCACCGGAGCATCTGGTCAGAGGCAGCTTCAGATATAAACACTGAACTAAACAAACATGTCAGAATCAACACGCTAACAAGTAGCATGTTTAGCTAACTGTAAACAAACAGCTGAGTGTGACATCGTGCAGGTCACATCAGGGCTGCGTAGAGCTCACACTGGAGCTGATGAAGGTTGCATTTAAAATATAATGTAAACGTTCACGCCAAAAAAAATCATAATTGAGCATTAAGACTTTTTTATGTCAAATAAAACAAGAAAAACGAATAATTAGTTTTTTTTTCTTTTCAGTTTTTTAGTTTTTAACTAAATTTGAAAAACAGTAGTAAAATTGAAAAGTGCTACTTTTTTAAATAGTTAAAGCTAAGATGATCTTTATATTTTGTTAGAGCACCATTTCTTACTTTCTGGCAAAACCAGAAATCATCACAGCCTGAACTCCTGCAGCGTTACGTTTTCACTGAGTGTTATTTTGAGGAGGTTGATCAGACTGTGAACAAAAATTGCTTTAATGTTTAAAGTTATGCAGAATAAGATTTGAGTGCAGCTGTTAAAATCTTTAGGAATGGTTTCTGTTTTATAGACGTCTTCCAGTCACTATAAACTCTTTAACCACTTCCTTCATTTCCAGTATCACTTCATATTAAAACAATAATCATATTTTTGTTTAGGGTTCAGGTAAGTGAAGCTAAAATCCAACACTGTGGATTTTTTATTAGTTTGACTTTATATTTTTACATTTAGGTTTTGAAAATGAAATACACTAAAAAACAGTTGTTTTTTTATTTTGAAAAGAATAAAAAACAAAGAATGAAGCGTACACAGATTGATCTGCAGTGTGAATGTAGTCTTATAGATCACTAAGTACAAAGACATGTTGCAACTGTTTAAACTTTAATGAAAACATCAGACATGAAACTAAAAAACAAATAAACAATAAAAACTAGTTAATGGAGTTAGTAACACTGTTCATCTCGGTACAATGCAATACAGTATTCTGCTTGTAAAACCCAGAAAATAGTTTAATCCTCTTTTTTTCAGTGTGTTTGGTTGATTAGCCTGATTTATTCACCTCTGCTTCAATCCTGACAAGTCTCATTAATGTCAGGTGCAGAGGGGTGCTTGTTTTTTTTCAAGATGTTCCATTTAGAATGGAGGTCAAACAGGTTAAACTTGTTTCTTCTGTTGTGCCATGAAGCTCAGACCAGTGGAGCTCTGATTGTTTCCTGAAGCCAACAGTAAACCTTGTTTCAGATCATAAATCTGTGGCTCCAGCTCGTCTGTTCAGCAGGTGGTTATCACCATCCACCTAACGTTATCATCGGCTCCTCCGTGGGTTTCAGGGCCGAGAACTACTGGTGGCGAGGTCAGAACAAACGGACCCTGAAGGTGGGACAGTTCCCCAGGAACGTGGTGACGTCTGTGGCTGGGCTGTCGGCGCACGACATCAGCAGGCCTCTGAAAAACAGCTTCATTCACACGGGTCATGGAGACACAAACCCCCAACGCTGCTGGGGCTTCCCAGACCGGATCGATGAGTAAACAACAACTTTTAAACTTAGAACAATTTGTATTTAAACCACAGATGAGATGTAATAACTACAGTGGTGAGAATCAGAGGACTTATCAGTACCTGCCAGCAGATGGCGCAGGTGAGCTGTTAAATTACATTTCTTACTGAAGTCTCTCTGCCCCTGCAGCTTATATCTGGGGAATCCCATGGACCCTCCTGATGTTTTGGCTTTTGAACACGGTGCTCCTCGGCCCATGCAGCTTCCAGGACGAACTAAAAGTGAGTTAAAGTTGCTGTTCTGTGCAGAAATCTCAGCTGTAGCTTCAGATTTATAATAAAAAGAAGCTTCAAGTGATACAACCCTGAGAGTGATTCAGCTTCTCTTTGCTTCAGGAATCTTCTGAACTCACTCTGACCTGTTGCTTCTTAACTTTCTGTCTTTGCCGCTGCTGTTTCCTTCCCTCCTGCTCCGGTGTCTGTTTTTATTTTTTGCAGAGGAGCCCCCTCCTCGCCCCCCTCAGCCAGCAGTCTTATTGAAGGGTAAGGCTGGTTTTACTTCCTGTTCCTGCCCTCTCTGTTCACTCTTAGCTCCACTCCTGAAAGGTACATCTTTCATTTCTTCACCTCTCCTTTGCAGTGCCTCTGCTCGTACTTTGTTTTTCTTAACAGGTTGTTACATTTCACCACCTCACTGAACATTTGTGCAGTGTCTCTGCTCTACGGTTTGCTGCAGAAGTACTTTTTTAGCGTTACAACCTTGGCTTTGTAGAATCAGCAGCACCCAGCAGTTTCTACAGATACGATACTTCTGTAACCTGCTGTATACGACTCATCTTTTCGCTTGTTGTTTGTGGATCCGTGTTTGACTTGTCTTTGTGGTGTTTAAGGCATCATGATGTCTTTATTCTTAAAGGGATCCATGATTAGTTGCAACATTAGACTTTATTTGATAAACATATATTTTAAATGTAAAATAAAGTTTGTAAAAATACTGTACGCTGTTTAGTTTAGTAAATGTTTTAAATTATATTTTAACATGGACAGAGCCATTTTATTTACACGCAAAGTGTAAGTGGATAGGTCCTCAGTGTGAGTGAGCTATATCCACCCTGAAGGTTAATCTTGGACAATATCTGATGATCGACTCTTTTAAATGAAACCAGAGAGCGTTGACAGAGAGGAGAAGGTAGAAATGATTCAGCCTGGAACTGAAAATATGGATGGAGGACAACAGAGCTGCTTCATGGAAAAAGAACCTCAGCTTAGCCTATTAGCTTTAGCATTAGCCCCGACGCTATCACCATATATATGTATTAGCTCAGCGCTACACATTCTCCTCTCATCACTGAGGTCCTCCATCCACATGACAGAGAGGAGGTCTTCATGAAGCAGCTCTGTTGTCCTCCATACATTTTTTCAGTTACAGGCTGAGTCATTTCTACCTTCTCTCTGTCAACGCTCTCTGGTTTCATTTAAAAGAGTCGATCGTCAAATATTGTCCAAGATTAACCTTCAGGGTGGATATAGCTCGCTCACACTGAGGACCTATCCACATCATCGTTTACCCAGAATGCTTTGCATGTAATTGAATTGGCTCCGTCCGTGTTAAAATATATTTTTAAAAATCATCAAAACTAAACAGCCTACAGTATTTTTACAGTCTTTATTTTACAGTTAAAATAAATGTTTATCATATAAAGTCTGATGTTACAACTAATCATGGATCCCTTTAAAACCTTTTGGGACATTTAATGTGTTTTGTTTTATCAGCAGAACATTGTTACGATCCAGTAAGTGAAGATGAAGATGTGACCTCTGCAGCACTCAGGAAATTATCTCTAAGAAAAACTGGCTCACTGAAAGGCCTCAGACTCAAACCCACTGCTTGGGTCCCTGGTTCCAGACAGGGGAGCGGCAGGACTGCAGGCTCAGGCCACGCCCCCTGCAGCGAAGCGGCTCTTATTGACTTCGGGGAGGAATTTCCCTCGTCCACGCTCTCACCCTCTCCTGCGTTTGACCCTCAGCTTCCTCTGCTGGCTAGGCTAGCTCAGGAAGCAAATAATCTCCTGGACAAGACCCCGCCTCAGAGCCCGTCTGCAGCGCTGCCCCGACCCCTTCACCCAACCCCTGTAATGGACTGGGATGCACGGCCACTACCTCCACCCCCTGCCTACGACGATGTGGCCCAGGACGAAGACGACATGGAGGTATGCTAACCCAAACGCAGACTGTGGATCAATCACCTCAATCTAAAATACGACTCTCTGACTGTCTGTTTCCTTCTAAGGTGAGCTCCATCAACAGCTCAGAGCAGCCGCTGGAAGAGGAGAAGAGGGCTGTTTGTGATGTCGATGGAGCTCTCTCCTCAGGACACACGATGGGGGGCGGAGCCTTCATCACCGCGGGCTCGGACAGGCCAGCTGTTGAGGACAACCTGTTTGTTCCCAACAAGCAGAATCAGGACACGTCAGCTTCTTTCTCCCAGTCTGTGGAAATCTTCCAAGAACTGCAGCAAGAGTGCATGAGGAGGCTCAACGTTCCAACAAGACCTCAGACGGTTCAGAGCGCAGAGGAGCAGCAGAGTTCCTTCTCCACCAGCGAGGACAAACCTCAGATCCCCCCACGTGTCCCTATCCCCCCTCGCCCCATAAAGAGGGGGGACTACGCTTCTGCTCGCTGGTCAAGGGATCTTTCTGTTTCGCCACTGCCGTCTGAAACCAAAAACTCTCTTTCAGTCCTAAACGGACCACCTCAGATCCCTCCCAGAGACCCTTTGTCTCAGCCGGGCTCCAGGACTCCAAGTCCCATCTGTCCGCTGGGCTCCACCCCACAGAGACCCTTCTCTGTCAGCCCCTCCAGCCTCTACCTCTCCACCTCTCCAGGTAAAGCCATGCCCACCACCCACAGCTTCGCCTCCAATCCTAAATATACTGCACCCAAAGTGATCCAGGCTCAGGAGAAAAATCCCTCCAGCAAAGGCCCCTGCATCCTGCCCATCGTCCGTGACGGGCAGAAGGTCAGCAACACACATTATTACCTTCTACCAGAGAGGCCTCCTTACCTCGACCGGCTGCAGCGCTTCTTCAGGGAGGCAGAGAGCCTCCCCACCACTGACGCAGAGGAGAGACCTGTACGGCCGCCCAACTTGGCTACAGTCAGACCAATGGTGGTCAACACACAAACAGTCCAGGGACACATCCAGGGACACGGGCTCATCCAGCCGGGGGAGCTAAAGACAAACTTGTCCTCTAATAATAACATGAGTCTGAGTGGACCATGTTCAGGGCTGAAGACATCGGTTAGTCTCCCTCGTGTGTCTTCAGACGGGTTGACAGTAGCAGAGGTCTCGACTTCCTGCACCATGACGGATGCTGGAGGACATTCACTGGACAGAGTTAAAATGGTACGCTGAGTTCTCTTCCTGTGACAAACACACTGCTGGTGTTATTACCTCCGCCGAGGAGGTAATGTTTTCTGTCGCGTATGTCTGTGGACTCTAACTTAAAAACGTGTGGACGGATTGTCACGATATTTACAGCACTTGTTCGTACTAGCACACGTAACACACCATTAAATTTTGGTGATGTTTCGGATCACGGTGTGGACACAGGATTATTTCTTTTAATTCGAGCGAATCAGCCAGAAGTTGCGAGCTCCCCCAGCCCTGCACAGAACTTCAGGAACGTGTTGCTACGTTACATGAATAACAGAGAAGACGCGGGCGCAACCGAGCCGAACCTGTTACCGGCCCACGGACTGCACCACCGGCCCAGACGCAGGTCAGAGGGCCGGTGGTTCAGTCCGTGAACCGGCCCACAGGCTGGAGTGAACCACCAGTCTGATGCGCATCAAGGAGCGACAGTTTCTGGGGCTCTGATGTTTTTCTGGATTCATTGTGCTCTAAACGATGCCATATCAAATAACTTCTCTACCTCTCCTCACCACGGGTCGGGCCGATCATACCGCACAGCTGATTTGTACTGCAGGGCGCCACCTGAGCTGACGATGAAGAGCGGGGATCAGAAAAATTAGTCCCAATAACCCTAGGCGGGCTGCTAAAACAAACAGTGGAGCTTATTAAAAACTAAAAATTCACAAAATAAGAAATGCCTTGTCCCTATTAGTGCTGCATAAATTAAATCTCTTGTTTCTGGCGTCCAGCAGAGAGATGCACAGAGCAGCGGCTCTAACGGGCCGAGTGGCTTCAAACAGAAAACTTCTCCCATAAAGCTCAGCAAAAGTCTGTGCGCAGTGCTCCAGCTCGTCATTTCACTGTGGAACATCACCTGTCAGTCACCAGGGGCACAACAAGTGGGGGTGGCCACGGGGGGCTGTGCCCCACCAGTTTTAACCTCTTGAGTCCCAAGCTTTGTGCTTATTTAAAACTTTCCCAGCTATATAAGATTAGTAGAACCTTATACATAAAATGTCCATCCATCCATCCATCCATC